TGGTTCAAACCCACTAGACACTCCTCATAAGGAAGATGGGGCAACCTACTTCCCTAGTGATACTGCCTCGGAAACTCGAGGAGAGGTCGCTATGAGTCAGATCCGACTCGACAGCAGTGAGTTTGGTTTTTGGTTTTAGCAACACCCGTTGGGTTTCCAAGGCAGTAAATCTTTATAGAAGTAGATTGCCCCCTCTTCCTTCCTTGAAGTGGCTGGTCGGTTTAAACCACTGATTTTCTGGTTAGCAGTCAAATGCCTTAGGCACTGTGCCACCAGAGCGCCTTCATTTTAGAACAGGACCAATAATTGAGGCGGCTTCTACGAGGCCACGGTGAGGTTCAGATGAGCAGCGAAGGTATGTAACAGCTTCCCATGTGCAGTACCATCTCATCACCACTGCACCCCTGTGAAACAGGCCCCCCCTTTTTTTCAATCTTTACTGATTCACATAAAATACAATTTAATTTACCAATTTTAAGTGGACATTATAACGATTTGTCCCCATCCTGCTGGCCCCTGGCAACCATCTTTTTATTTTTTTATCTCCGTGGATTTACCTATCTCAGGTATTTCCTATAAGTGGGCTCATACAATATTGGTCCTTTTGTGTCTGGCTTATTTCACTCAGTGTAACATTTTCAAGGCTCATGCATGTGTCGGCATGTATCAGAACTTCCGTTTTCTTTATAGCTGAATAACCTTTCCTTGGAGACAGGCCCTATCTCCATCCCCACTTTACAGATGAGGAAACTGAAGCACAGAGAATCACACAACTGAGAAACGGCAGAGCAGGGATGTGAACTGGAAACAGGTTGACTCCAAAGCCCTCGATCTAAGGCTCCTGGCAAGGCCAGCTCCTGTGAAGGGTAAGTATTAAGATTTCGCACTGCTCAGTAAATGTCGCTACTGATGTAACAGTAATGATTGTTGTCACTGGGGAAATTTGCCATTGGCAACACTAGCTTCCAAAAAATCAGAAGAATGAATATCCTACCTGATGTTTTACTAAACTTTATTATTTCTTTTATTTAGAAGTAACAAAGTAGTTAGCAGTGCTCAAATGAATGTCTGTTGAATTGATACACTTTGTGGACTTTTGGGGAAATAAATAAAGATGGGGGTGGGGGGAATGCCCAGTCTCACTATCCTCCTCTCACTTATCTGTGCATGTTTATTTTGAGTTTGGTTAGAGATGTGAACACGCTGAGAGCTTTCTGGATTCCACATCTTTTGCTTATTATAATTCCATGAGCCTTTCTCTTATATGATGATTTTTAATGGCTGCAGAATAATGCATCAAGTGGTTGTCCTCCCCTTTCTTCCAGCTTAGGGTTTTTATTTCAGCTTCCGATCCTGAAGCAAACAGCGTTGGGAATGAAGATCTTTCCTTCTTTGATGTGACTTGCAGAAATGAATTTCTAACAGGGGATTTATGAAACAACAATCATTACTATTACATCAGTAGTAACATTTACATTTAAGCCAGTGTTGGGGGAGGCTTGGGGGGCAGAAGGCTCTTCTTGGTGTCCTAGTGAGGAAACCATGCCTGCCCCAGTCTACTACACCTATGCTTAAGACTTCCTTCCCATGAAGTTATCTTTGAGCTTCAGCTTCTGGGCTGAAGGTTTCTTCTTACCTGCCAAACTACCTACCCCACCTGACAACCTAAAGTCCGAGACCTAGGATTTTATCCTCAACCTGACACCAGTGGGCTGCAAGACCCTCAGTAAGCCACTTCCCTTCTTTGGAGCCTCTCTCGGTCAGTTAAGGAGTGGATTATCTCTAGATCCTGCCCAGAAAGAAATGATTAGGGAAAGTCCAGTCTCAGTTCAGTTCCTAAGTCACTGAGAACCCTGGTGCCTTGTTAAGTGGTATGGGCTCAGTTTTGTCACCTCTTGTGCAGGAGACTGGGGTGGTAGAACCATCTGGTAGGCAATGGTGAGCTCATTGCCTTATTTACCCCAATGGACTGGGTGCTTCAAGAGGACAGATATCCTAGCATCCAGCACAAACTCAAGTATGGCTGCACCATGAACCATCAACAACTAAACAAGTAAGCAAATTCCTCCATGTGAGGAGCAAAACGTTCTTCTCCAACCAACAGGTCCACCTTTCAAGGCTGAATCCCACCACTATCTTCATCCAACCATTCACTCACTTATTCACTCATTTAATGTTTATTGTGTATCCTCTGGGTCTGGCCTTGCCAAAGTATCTGACCTCATCTCCTTCCATCCCTTGCCGTTCCTCCAGTGGGCTGAGCTCACGCCTGCCCTGAGTCTTTGTGCGTGCAGAAGCCTCTGCCTGGAGTACTCTTCTATTGGCTTCTTCCATGGCTGTCTCATCACTCAGGTCTCAGCTCTGATGTCACCTCCTCTAGAAGGCCCTGTTGGGTACCCCTTCTAAAGGCACAGTAACTCTCTATCACCTTGCCCTGTATGTTTCCCACAGCACTGAACAGCTATCTGAAAGGATATTGCTTACTTACATGCTCCTTTGTTCAGTGTCCATCCACTCTCCCTTGAATGTCAGCCCCAAGAGGGCAGAGATTAGGGCTACTAGGTCATCATTATTTCGAGTCCCACAAATGAATGAATGCCGGCCATAGCAGGCACGACTGTAAATATGAAGCCCACATGTATTGAGCACCTACTGTATGCCAGACATTATTAGCCCTTTAGATGTAGTATTTAATGCTCCAGACAACGCCTGAAGTAGCAACTATTATTATTCCCACTTTATAAACGGGGGGACTGAGGCACAAAGCAGTTTCATAACTTGCCCAAGGTCACAGGGTTAGTAAGTAGGGGAGCCAGGATTCCCTAGTGCATACTGTTGATTAAGAGTGTGCTGAGCCACACATGGGACAGAGTCCCTGTCTTCAGGGATTAAAAGCTGAGCTGGCTAGTCCACAATCTAGGAAGTCTGGGAACACTTCCTAGAGGATGCAAC